GCTCTGGTCGAGGGGGGTTGGTCGTGGTGGGCGGTTGATAGCCCTCGCGGGGAGGCCGGTATCGATCGATGCTTGCCATGGTTTGCGGCGTCGGCGGATTGAACTCTTGGACTGGGTCTCGTGTGCGGCGTGCCTTGTCACGTCGGCGCGGTGCAGAGGGTGAAGGAGTGTTGCGTCTGCCGCGTGGAAAGCGATTCCCTCGAGTAAAAATTGCTGACGGAGATCGCGGTTGCTCGCATCAGCAGTGATGGAGAGTCGGTCGTTCCAAGGCGTTCGCAGGGGTCCATGACGCGCAAAATGGATCTCGGCGAGGCGGCTGCTGCTGGTGGCTATTTATTCAACCAGCCAATCAGGTGACTCGCCACTGTACGAGCCCAACAAGTTTTCGTTGTCGCCGTGTGTGTAACAAGACGGGAAAAAAACTCTTCACTGTGACATGGAAAAAAGCAATTATGGTATTTAATGGCGTCTGATTTTGGGTATCGTGGCTCATTGTCAAGATTTCTATGGTATTTTTTACATTTGATCGCCATCGTCGCATTTACACATTTATGCAGCCTCGCCATCGTTTCGTCCCCACAATTTGACTGTACGGTCGTGTCCGCCGCTGACAATCCATTTACCGTCCCTGCTGTAGTCGGCCGAGGTGACGGGGCCGGTATGCCCGCTGAGCGTCTGGACTAAACTCCAGTCATCCGCGGAAAAGATCTTGACGGTGCGGTCAAAGCCCGCCGACACCACAAACGTGCCCGTCTTCTTGGGGATCTGGACGCCCTTGTCGTCCAGCGGCGGCGGCACACCGTCCAGTGGTTCGTCGAGGCCCTTGAACCAGCGCACGTCGGAAATGGCGCTTGTGTGCGCGCCGATGCCGCCCGTTTTCTGGACCTTGCGGACATCCCAGCACTTGATCCAGCCGTCGGCAGAGCCGGTGAGCACGCGGTGCCCGTCGGCACTCCAGTCCAGCGCGTAAATGGGCTTAATGTGGCCGTCCTGATGGCCGTCAAGGATCATGACGGTCCGGCCTGATCGTACATCCCATATTCGTCCGATACTGTCGAGTCCGGCACTGGCGATTAGAGACCCGTCATTGTTGAAGCTGACGGCGTAGACGCCGCGCGAGTGGCCCTCTTGTAGCAGAAGCTCCTTGCTTGTTTCCACGTCCCAGAGCCGCCAGGACGTGTCTTCCGAGGCCGATGCGAGATAGCGTCCCGACGGGTGGAACTCGACGCGACATACGCGCTGCGTGTGGCCTTGGAGCGTGGCGAGTGGCGTGTCTTGATTCAGCGACCAGAGGTGGACCAACCCTTCGGCACCCCCAGACGCAAAGTTGACCGAGTCAGACGATACGTTGGACTCTGGTAGAGTAGCACCGGGTGACCAGGAGATGCCGCTAATCTTGTTTGTATGTCCGCGATATGACATCTTCTCACTGAGAGTCGGCACCTCGAGGATCTTGATTTGCCCACCCCAGTTTCCGACTGCGACCAACTCGCCGTTGGGTGATAGACGCGTCATGCTCACGTTGCGCTCGCCGACAATCTGGCTTCCTTGTAGCTCAAATCCAGCCAGCCGCTCCTTCATCTGCTTGCGAAACTTGACTTGCGTGCGCAGCGGAATCTTGGCCTCGAGACGTTGGTAAGCCGTCCGTCGCTTGGCCCTCGGCAGCGAGTACTTGGCCATGTTAATGCGTGCTTCGAGAAGCGCTGGGCCACCGCGCGAGTAGAATTCCTCCTCCGCCTCGTCCTCCTCCTCTTCGGCGTCTTCCATGGTCACATCGGCCGCCTGACCCCCAGCTTGCTCGACCTGGAGCGTCATGAGCTCGCGCAGGCGGTCTCGTCGGTCGCCCGGGCCCTCGCCGAAAAGGGTGATGGGTTCGCCCATCTCGCGGAGCTTGGCGCGTACACGTCCATCGTCGGTCGGGACCGCTATCGTGGCGGCGAGACGTTTGCGGTTGAGCTGGCCGAGGATGGCGGACGCCTTTTCGGATGTCCCGCCGGCAACGTCGGTGGGAATATTGTAGTCATGGTCTTCGGGGAGATCTTCGAGCGCAATGCCCGACATGGGCTCGTCATCGACGCGCGCTTGCCTTGACGGGTGCATCATCTTGGCGGCTGTCGCGAATCGCCCGTTGCTCTAATGAGTGGTCGGTTTTGTCGCTGTCTTGGATCGCAAATTCAGCGGTGAAGTAGCGGCCTTGTAATGTAGTACAGTAAATGACCGTAGATAGCGCCGTATTGATGTGGTCAGAATGAGGCGGCAATGTCAAATGGCGGCAAAAGAGAAGAGGTTGCAAAAAAAAAGAAGCTCTGTGCTCCACCAGTCGCGACGGCACGGCGTCAGTAGCCCACTGGCGCGCCTGTGATGCCCGCACCAAAGGTTACAGCAGCAATACGACCACGGTACTTCAATTGCCGAATATATCAAGGAAAATACAAGTTCAATCATTGGTATAGGTTCTCAACCAAAACAAAAAAACATTGTCATCAGAACTTGATCTGCCCAAGTACAATTGTCAACGTGTAATATGACAGCCTGCGGACTGGGGCAGCCACGTAGACATGCAAGACTAAAATCAACCTTTGTACTGTGTAGTTCTAGATGTCTATTAAAAATAACATCGCAAATAGCTACTACCAGGGGCAGGTAGTATACATCAACGATTTGAGAATACTCCTTGTACTCAGCTTGTCCTCGTGTAATTGTGCCATCTATGTAGCTACTTATGAGTTCCGCACCCCCGACGAATTCCCGGCATCCTGATATTACCCGGTACCTCAAGACCGTTGTTACCAGATGCCTTGAGTGAGCTGTCATCGATGTTCAGGTTCCGCAAGTGTAAAACAACATGATTGCCTAGAGTAGGCTTTTGTGAAGTTCCCGCTTCTCATTTCAAGCTTCCCCTGGGATGGCAAATGTACTTACACTACGAGACAACGCCGCTGAACCACTAATAAGGCCTCCTTGTTTTTGATGCGATGCTGCTATGAGGTTATGTGATACAGCTACCTAGTTATCGCCTGGGATGCGCTTCTGTGTAGACTAAAAGTGAGTGCCCAGTATTAGTGGGCAGGTTCAAGTACACAAAGCGTCGCACTGCCGGGTAGTCGCGAGCGACATGTTCACTAGTCCGTCTCGCCTCGCCGGCTCCTAGCTTTCCCGTCGCAGCAGTCATGGGATTAGACATGCAAAAATAGCGTCTTCGTCGTGGTTTACAACAAACATGCCCCTGTACTGTGGGATGACGGGCCAGACCAATACTCCCTGATGTATGTCACACCGTGTATCGATATGTGGAGTGTTTGGCGACGTCGCGCAGAGGCGAGTAGAATCTTGCTGCGATGCGATACTTGGCGTCCACAGTGGCTGTTCGCTCTCCATGGAAAAGGAAGCTACAAATTAGTTCTGGTGTACTGGGAATGGCGAGGCTCGATGGGAGAACGTTGTTGACAGAACAGGCTGCCACGTCTAGGTTGAGTTCATGACACTGGAGCTGTCGTGAAGCCGAGGATGAAGGGTTTGGAGATACAAAGCACCCAGCAACGACGAGCACAAGATGCCCGCGGCGACACAGAGATGTCATATCAAGAACTTACAGCAACGCAATGACGACTATGGGGAGGTGAGCGGGGGTGGGAGGTGCAAGGACAGTTTATCGACGAAGATCAAGTCACTCATCTGGCAAATTGCAACGAAACATTAGAGTCATGAGCCGAGATACTATGGAGCGGTAGGAGAGAAATGAGAAGGATAAAAAATTTCTCATTGTGTGATGGTGATGGTTTTGGGAGGCGAGGCGCAAGGGCCCGAAAAATGTGATACGCGCATTGAGCTATTGGTGAAGAGATTTCGTTGAATTTGTGAGGGTTCTGTGTTGGGGTAGTTGCCGTTGGCGAGCAGAGTCGATGATGATTGATCGAGGCTGTGATATGCCATGTGTGATGAAAGGTAATCGTGAAAGGATGGCAGATTTGGGTGATGATGGCGAATTCAGATAGTTACGTGGGGGGTTTCCCAGGGGCAGCGCGCGATGAGCCGCGGTGGATACGGAGAACAGCGGTTGAGTGGCTGGAGCATGTGGCTGATGAGGGGTGGCAACCGGTACCTTTTCTTCTTTTTCGCCTCTTGAACAGGAGGAAAAAAGGTAGAATGCGAATAAATCTTTGCATTACAGTATGACTCATGGAAATTCCTGCGATATCATAAAGAGGCAGTCTACACTTTTGGCTGCCCTGGTTCGTACTATACAGATGAGCAGCGATCTCTTCACGACTCCCCCCGCATTGAACAGCGCCGCAAAAGCGGTAAGCTAATTTAAAGCGCAAGAGCCGGAGCCACTAAGCTGACATGCATTTCTTAGCCAGCAAAGCAGGTTTTGCCATTTTGGCTCGTGCCACACTTTTGGCGCCACAATTATTTTTTTACGAGCGGAAAAAAACTGTGTCTAGTCCGACGCACCGAAAGGCTTCCCTCGCTTCTCTCCTTCCCCCCTACACCTCTTGGTGACTAGAACTTGCCCTCTTTACGACGAAATCACTCATCTACACCCGGCTTCAAATGCATACACCAATCCAGACGCACCCCCGACCTGCCTTTTTCAAGTACCAGATGCGTATTGCCAGCCTGGTCAACGCCCACACCCTGCTTCAGGCCGACACCACCAAGCGCGCCGACCCTGAGCGACGTCGTGGCTCGAATTGACTCCCTCGCGAACCACCCGCGCGCTTACCCCCCTGATTCTCTACGGGAGGGGCGTCCCCGATACTCTCGAATTGCCCCATCTTTGCCTCTACTCTGCCGTTTTGGCACAATTACTGCACACTTGATCATCACCACCACGCGATCCCGACGTCATGATACGCCCCACCCCCACCGCGCGCAACATCGTGCGCGGATTTCCTGGCACGCCCGTCACGTCTGGCGATGAAGACTCGGACTATGGAGGGGCAACTGGACGGGCCACGCTCCCCAAGACTAGCCGACGCGGCCGCCCCCGCATCGACGACGTCGTCAGCGCCAACTGCAGCCCCGTCTTGCGTCCAACGCCCTCGCCGAGCGTCTCGGGCATCGCCAAGCTTCGCATGCAGATGGACCCTCTCAGCCTCGATGCCGCCTCGCGCTCCAGCTCGACCACGCGCCTGGGATGCCGAGGTCCGGACAATAGCCGCATGTCGGGCCACCCGCTCGACAGCCGCGCTGGCAGCCGCGACGGTGCTGCCCCGAGCGAGGCTGGCAGCGAGGGCTCCGAGACGGCCTCGACTGAGTACGAGGTGAACCTCGAGCACGATTTTGTCAGCGAGAGCGTCCGCGACCGCACCGGCATCATCGAAGGCGGTCTGCGGATCCGTCGCAAGATGACGGCCGAAGCGTTTGAGCCGCTGCGCTGTCTCGGCAAGGGCACCTACGGCACTGTGCTTCTCGTTAAGCAGCGCGCCACCGGCAAGCTCTACGCCCAGAAGCAGCTCAAAAAGGCCTCCCTCGTCGTCCACCGGAAGCTTGTCGAGCAGACCAAGACGGAGCGGCAGATTCTCGAGTCTGTCAATAGGCACCCCTTTGTGGTCAAGCTCTTCTACGCCTTCCAGGACCACGAGAAGCTCTACCTCATCCTCGAGTACGGTCAGGGCGGCGAGCTCTTTACACACCTGAGCACGGAAAAGATGTTTTCCGAGACGGTCGCCGCCTTTTACATGGCCGAGATGCTGCTCGCCATCTCGCACCTGCACACCAACCTCGGCGTCGTCTACCGCGACCTCAAGCCCGAAAACTGTCTCCTTGACGCCGACGGCCACCTGTTGCTCACCGACTTTGGCCTCTCCAAGGTCAGCGCGCACGAGGCGACGGACAGCTGCCACTCGTTTCTCGGGACCGTCGAGTACATGGCGCCTGAGGTGATCCTGGGCAAAAAGTATGGCAAGGCCGTCGACTGGTGGTCCTTTGGCGCGCTTGGCTACGACCTCATGACGGGCAACCCGCCTTTCCGAGGGCAGAACCACGCCAAGATCCAGGACAACATCGTCAAGCAGAAGCTGTCGCTGCCCTACTTTCTCAGCGCCGACGCCAAGGACCTGCTCACGCGCCTGCTGCGCAAGGACCCGAACAAGCGGCTGGGCTCCAACATGCCCAAGGACCTGCAGACGCTCAAGGGCCACCGCTTCTTCCGCAAGATTGACTGGAAGCGTCTCGCCGCCCGCGACCTCACGCCGCCGATCCAACCCCTCATCACGGACCCGGAGCTCGCCGAGAACTTTGCCCCCGAGTTTACGGACCTCGCCCTCAGCCCCTCCCTCATTGCCGTCGCGAGCCACGAGGAGGCGTGGTCCGCTGTCCCGCCCTCGGCCAAGGACGACGTCTTTGGCGGCTTCAGCTTCGTCGCCTCGGCTAGCCTCCTCGAGTCGCACGCATTTCCTCTGGCCAGCGGTGTCTCTGGCGCTTGACTACATGACGGAGCGTGGCAGAACCGCACCGCCTCTCCAAGCCTGTGCTCTTTTTAACATGGCGCCCCCAACTAGATTGTTTTTGCGTTACAAAAGTGTCCCATGTCTGGTGATAAATTCGTTTTTTAAAAGCAATATTTTTGGAGTACTGCTTTCTGCACAGCGAAATCATGTGTAATAGACTACAGCTATAGCCTGCGCGTTTTGACGAAAATTACAGAGTTTGCATGGAGAATGGTATTTATGATGCGGTCATTGGAATATGCTGGGAGTTCCGGGCCAGATGAGGATGTAGAATGATGACTACATGCTATTCTTTCATTGGTTACTAGGAATTGCGCCCAAGTTCTTGACAGTGCTGTTCATATTTCCTTGATCAAATCCCAAGCGCAGTACAAATTATGTGGTTCCTATATTCTATCAAAGCTCTTCCACACCGATAATGTTGCGGGTTGAATGTATTGGCAGGTTGGCGCTGTGTTTCGGCCACCCGATTGCTTGTTTAGACGCCCGCCTGTAAGTCGCTGTGGAAGCACGAACTGAGGCTTTGGCGCGGGGGCAAATCTACAAAGATGATGGTGCCTCATCGGATCGCTTGATTGGTGAGTGGCTGCGGCTTCGCCCACACTGACCCTCTCCATCGTGGGACTATGTCGTTGAGGGGGATCTGTAATTCGCTGGGTATTACTCCAAATAGCATCAAGATGCAGCAAGATCACTAGTCAGCCAGGAAGGCCATGCAGGACTTCGGCGAGGAGGTCACCAGAAGCCATCCCTCACCTGCTTGTTCCTTCTTCTTCCCCACCCCTCTACATGCTCTATTCCTTGCGTGCGTGAGTGCCAACGCGCATCGACAGACACACCAGCCCCGTGCTGTATTGCCGAGCGCGAGAGACCAAAACGGTTGCTGCCGACATGCACTGGTGCACAAGAGTTTGCGCCATTCTCACTCGTGTACTTTTCTTCTTCTTTACACACTCATACCCTCATATCCGTCAAACACGCACACGCACATAATCATGTTCTGGGCCAAGACTCTCGCTGGCTTCGCGGCCGCGGCTTTCCTCGCGCATGCCCTCCCGCCAGGTACGTTCGCCAAAGGCACACACACCTACACACATGTCATCCTGGCTTTGGCTCTCCTGCTTTTTTTTTTTCGATTTCTGCTGACAGTAGACGTCAAATAGGCCAGCAAGAATATAGCCTGCTATTGCGCGGACGCATGGGCTCTACCGCATCGCCGGCAAACGAAAGGGTCGCCGTGGCCTACGCGCCTGAAGTCGAGGCGGCCGACAGCGCGCAGGTGCTGGGACAATAGAAACTTGGAACTTGGCCTGTGCCTGCCACCCAACGCGTGCAGGCTCCTGATTGGCCCAGACCACTAGAAACCCACGTTTATATACTCTTTAGCCACAAAGTGACTCGAGATAGCCTCAAAATCAGACACTTTGCAACAACCAGAAAGCCCCCATGAACAGAGAACCAGAAGCCGTGCGCATACCAACAGAAACTATTGGTAAACTTTTGGTCAGCAAAGGTCACTAGCAAGGGCTGGCCAGCTGCGCCCGACTCGAAAGCAGCATTACATTGCATCCTGGCATTTGCAAACAGGGCTGCCGTGCAAATGCTACTGTGTGGCGGTGGCCTTGCTCGGCCGCAGGGCTCCTTTGCAGCCTGTAGGTACGGTCTAGGGAAATCCCCTCTTTAAACGAACAGTATAACCCACCTGCAGCTGCAGGTGAACAAAAGTGCCTGGGCCGACGACGGGGTCCCATCCGCACAAGGCTGGCGTAAAAGTGCACCCTCGCTCTCTACTGCAACGCCCGGTCAATCAGGTATCCAAGCAGAGCAACTCGCTTCCTGGAGAGAAGACGGCCTCACTCACGATGGAGAATCTCACCAATGACGTCGGGAGGCGCTGAGCTGCCAGGGCAAGTTGGCCATGACATCGACGGCACACAATGGAGGTTAGATGGGGCAAGCTCCGAGTCCTGCATCAGGCTATCGGTAATTTGTCTCTTTGAGACTGGTTGGATGGGCGCCATCCTCCCGAGTTTCCCCCAGCAATGTGGCGTCGACTCGATCCGCTTTGTACCGAGTCCTGACAATGTCGCGGGTCGTTCGCCGTTCGCCGTCGGACCATCAAGGGCTCCTTTGCCAACGCCATCTCCCGACCCCTCTTGTGATATCCGCATTGATAACTAGTCTGATATACACTGATATACACGGCAACGGCCGCAACGTTGACTTGCGTTGAAGGCCCCTGCCTGGCAGCAGGTCTCCTCCCCAAGCTCGAGAGATGTCGGAAATCATCGCCTTATTGTGGCTCTCACCGTTCCCTTGGGTTTGCTTGCCTCTTTTCCCTGCGCCACCTGGCTCTGTTGCTTTATTTGATCTCCTTGCTTGTCGTCCCGCGCCCTCTGACATTCCAACTGATTGTGATTCGTTCTTATCGCCTCTTCTCCCTTCTCTCTGTACTTTTCTGAGCAAACTCGCTACCTTTGACCGTCTCGCCGGAACTTGCCATCTCTGGCCGCTCCGTGTTACACTTGCGCTCTTGCGGTCGCCATCATGGGCGACGATACATCATTTGGCCCTCGGCTGTTGGGCCACTTTGATTTCACCTTGCTCTTTGAGCACATCATCTTTCAAATCATTCCCTCAGCCCTCGTCCTCTTTGCAACGCCCTTTTACCTTCACAGGTTGATCCGCGGCACGGCTCTCATCCGCCCCGGCTGGCTCCTCCCCGTGAAAGTCGCGGCTGCCATTGCTCTCGTCGCGTTTCAGACGGCAAACTTGGTCCTGTGGTCTTCATCCAACCTCGAGCATGTGGATCTTAGGCTGGGTCGAATCGCTGCCGTGTTTTCCTTGCTCAGTGCAATCTGCATTGCCATCATTACCGCATTTAGCCACGTCTACTTCCTTTCATCTTCGACCTTTCTTGGTCTGTTCCTCACCATGACACTCCCCGCAGATATTGTCACCACCTTGTCCTATCACAACCGCCCGGGCCTTGTGCTAATGGCACGACTTCAGATCGCTGTGCCAGTTCTCAAATTCGTAATACTTGGACTCGAAGAGGTTTCGAAACGTGCTCTTATTCACTCCCAAAACGTCCGCAATTCGCTAGGCAGTGAGAATCTCGCCGGATTTTGGAACAAGTCCCTGCTCATCTGGCTGAACCCCCTTTTGCTTTTCGGGTTTCGGCACAAGATTACAAGCAGTTCACTTCCAGCTCTTGCCTCCCAATTCGGGTCTGACATTCTACATCGCGAGTTCGAGACCCACTGGAAATTGCGCGAAAAGAAAACGTCGAGATACGCCTTGGTGATTGTCCTGTTTATGGCTATACCCTGGCCGCTTTTATACGTACTCCTTCCCCGTCTGCTCGTGACTGGGTTCACGTTTTCACAGCCCTTTCTACTCCAAGACATTGTGAACGAGGTTTCGACAGAAAATTCATCTGTCGACGTTGAGCATGGTTTATTAGTGGCTACTGCTATCATCTATACTGGCTTAGCGGTAAGTATACTGTCCATTCGTAATTGCGCATTTGGGCGAAAACTAAAACATGGCGTCGCAGGTATCGAGGTCATGGTATGTCTACGTAAAAAACCAAGTCCGAATCTGTGTGCGAGCCATCTTGGCGTCCGCCATCTACCATAAATCCTTGAGGCTTGACGCTACTGAATTAAGAAAGAAAGCGGCAGTTACACTGATCAATACGGATCTGAAAGGCATTGATCAACTTTTGGAACTTGGTTATGAGAGTCTCGCCTATATTCTTGAAATTGGACTTGGCATAGCGATGCTTGCGAGATTTGTCGGCGCTGCCACAATATTCGCAGTTCTTCCTACCGTCGGTATGATCTCTCACTCCATAACCTTCTCAGGAAGGTCAGTTACTCACAAGGGAATAGTTGCAACGGTTCTTGTTTTGTTTGTGGCCAAGAAAATGCTGGTGACTCGTCGCAAATGGAACGAGCACATTGCGGCCCGCGTCGAGACTACATCCAACATGCTCGCCCAGGCCAAGGATGTCAAAATGATGGGACTGGCGCCTGTCTTTGCCCGTGAGCTTCAAGATAAATTCGAAGTTGAAACTCTAGTCGCCATGAAGGACCGCAACTACTTGACTGCCTCTTTGACTCTCTCGGCGTTTGGCGCCTCCGTCACCCCGGTGCTCGTTGTGGCCGGCGCCCTTTTCTGGCGTCTGGTATCGCAACCCATGACCGCTTCGCGCTTCTTCACCATACTTGCCTTTGTACAGCTTGTTGCTCAGCCGCTTGCCCTGTTTCTCGAGTACACCCCATATTGGACAACTGGCTTTGCCGCGATTTGCCGCATTCAAGAGTTTCTGGCCATTCCCGAGGTGCAAGACCCGCGAGTATTTGTCTTTGACCCCAACGCCAGCGTCGAAAAGGGCCACACAAATCGGCATGCACCGGGTACCCTCTTTGCGGTAGAGATGTCGTATGTTTGCGTCACGTCAGACTTTGCAGGCCCAATCCTACGGAGCGTCTGCGCGGGGTTTCCATTCGGCACCGTCGCCATGATATTCGGCCCCGTTGGATGTGGCAAAACAACTATGCTCAATGTAATTTTGGGAGAGGCCACGATCAGTCACGGTGATGTGAAGCTGGCATCCGATTCTATATCGTATTGCAGCCAAGTGCCGTGGATCCAAAACATGACAATCCGACTCAACATTGTTGGTCAAAAAAAGTTTGACGCAACCAAGTACGCAAGAGTAATCTATATATGTGCTTTGGACGATGATCTTCAACAGATGCCCGATGGTGACGAGACCATTGCCGGTACGGATGGTTGCAATTTGAGCGGTGGGCAAAAGTCGCGTATTGCGTTGGCGCGAACACTCTACCTGGAGGCGGACATCATGCTTTTGGACGATCCCTTCAGCTCTCTGGATAAAGAGACGGCGTCGGCGATCCGTCTGAGGCTCTTTAGCGAGAGCGACTTGACCCAGGATGGACGCACGACAATCATCATGACGACCAGCGTCAAGGCGCACCTCGTCGACGCCGATATCCTCTTCCGAATTGCTGAAAATGGCGAGGTTGAAACAGCCCCAATAACACTGCGGGAACTCTCTCCAGACTCGATTATGAAGCGCATGAATTTACCGGAGGACAAGATGTACCGAGTGCCAAGCAGCCAAGCAGAGGAGCTCCCTGCGGTTAAAGCAAATGACAATACACGCGATCCTGCGTGTGCCAGGCACGCGGGAGACTTTTCGCTCTACTCTTATTTTGTGCGCCCAGCAGGTGCGTTTCAACTCATGTTCTGGTCGACTCTCCTGGTGCTCTCCGCCGTGGCAGAACGCATGCCCCAAATCTTTGGACGCATCTGGATGGAGACGGATCCTACCAATGATGCCTACTACGCCGGTTATGCCTTCTTCGGCGTCGCCAACCCGATTATGCACATCCTCTCCATTGGTGGGTTCTATCATCTTGTCAATGCAAAGGCGGTCAACGCTCTGCATTGGGCTCTGGCCGACACGACGAGCAGAGCGACGTTTGAGTTTATCATGGAAGAAGACGCCAATTTCTTGCTCAACCGATTTAGCATCGACACGTCAATGGCGACGCAGACGCTGCCCACCACCATCATTACTGTGGTTTGGTGCGGCCTCACTGTGCTCATCGACGTGGGCGTGATTGCCTCGGGTGCCAGCTACGCGTCACCCATTATACCAGTCTTTCTCCTCGTCGTATATGGCATCCAGCGGTTCTACCTGCGCACCTCGCGACAGCTGAGGGAGATGGAACTGGATGTGTCCAAATTGCTGACCAGGCACATGGTGGAAACTACAGCTGGGATCGAGCACATCCGAGCGTTTTGCTGGCAGGAGGCGTTTACGAAGGAATTCCATGAGATTCTGGACGTCACCCAGAAACCTTTTTATTTTCTCATCTCCATCAATCAATGGCTCCGTTCTGTTATGGATCTGAGTACGGCTGCGTGTGCCGTGTCGATTGTCGGTCTGGCCCTCAACTTTCACAACACGGCGTCGCCTGCTTCGATGGGATTGTCACTTCTGAGCCTTCTCTACTTTAGCGAGACTGCTGCCATTTTTGTGCGATACTATGTCAACATGGAGATGGCTTTCGGCGCTGTGGCACGCATCAGAGCCTATATGAATCACACCCCAAAGGAGGAAGAATGGGACTGCGCACCGGTGCCGGATGATTGGCCGTCGGCTGGCAAACTGGATTTCAGCTGCGTGGGCGCAGTCTACAAGTGAGCCATCAGAATGACAATGCGGTGGTACCAGAATGCAGAGAACCTAACCGTAATCCAGGCCGGATACTGAGCAAGCGCGTAAAGTGTTTAGGAACGTATCCGTTACAGTTGAGCCCGGGCAGACCATCGGAATCATTGGTCGAACTGGAAGGTATGTCCTCATTTAGAGTAGCCTGGACCCGAGACAGCGGCTGACGCGCGACAATAGCGGCAAATCAACACTACTACTTGCCCTCTTGCATTTGATACGATACTCGGGGACCATCCACATTGACAATCGCGAGGTCAAGAGCGTGCCCCGAGAGCTTCTCCGCAGGCGCATCACGACGATGACGCAGGGCGGTCTTGAGCTCAACGGCTCCGTCCGTCTCAACATGGACCCGTTCCAGCTTCGCACGCGCGGCGGCAGTCGGGGCACGGTCCCGTTTCCAAGCGACGAGGGTCTGGCGGAGATTTTGCGCCAGGTCGGGCTCTGGAGCCAGGTTGCGGACGCGGGCGGCCTCGACGGCTCCATGGCGCGGCTGAAGCTGTCGCGCGGGCAGAAGCAGCTGTTCCACGTTGCGCGGGCCATTCTGCACAAGCGCATGATGGGGTCCAAGATTCTGCTCATGGACGAGGGCACCTCGAGCATGGACGCGGACACGGAAGAGGCCGTGGCGCGCCTCGTCGGTGACGCCTTTGCCGACTGCACAAAGGTGTTTGTGGGCCATCGGCGCGCTCTGCTGGCAAACGCGCACATTATTCTGCGCCTTAGCAACTGGGCGGCGGATCCAGAGGTCGTCCGGTTCGAGGATGGGAACCAGAGGAGCAGCAGTGAGAGTGGGCATGACAGTGATCAAGAGCGGGTGTGGGCGCATCTGAGCTAGGAGGCGGCGTATCTCTTGCCTTTGGTTTGCATTCTGGTATTTTTTTCTTCATTTCCAATCTGACGCTCCTCATGAAGTCAAGACAGGCCACTTGCCGCTCGACTTTCTTGCAGGAACGGCGGTGAGGAAGGCGGCTCACTTCACGTGCAATTCTGGCATTGCATATACAATGGATCGACAAGACAGTCCGAAGCAGCGTTGCAGACCCCAGCAGTCCTTGAACTCGCTGTACGGCTTTTCTGCATCTCTTGTACACCAAATACTCTCACCCAAAGTAGTAAAGCCTCGGCCAAGTCATCTGCGACGCAACAAGGCCAATGCGGACGCGCAAACGTGGCGGGCATCCCGCAAGCCAAGATGTTGTGAGATTTTCCTCAAATGTAAAGAGACGATATGAAAGGATGCCAAAAAGTGCTCGATCCGCTCCGCCAAGCCAAGAGCGAAGCTTATCGGGCATGTATACGTAGGCTCCAGCCCTTCTTGGCTTGCTCAGACCGTGAGACGCAACAAGGAAAAAAAAGGGAAAATAAAAAAAGGATGACGAAGATGTGCTTGGCAATAAAAGAGGCGCGACGCACTAAAACGCCGCGATCTGATTATGTGTGTCCCCCGACCCCAGGCCGGGACCATTCCAGCAGAGACCCCTCCAACCAGCGTGCGGCCAATGCCAACCGCGAGCAGGGGGGCGTGCCATGAATTGCACATCCTTTCTTTTTTACTGCTTCTCTCTTGGTGCAGCGCATCAACGCCCAGGCCAGAGGCCTCTCTTGGCGTTTCGGCACAGCGACTTTTGGGGGGGGGGGGATAGATGGGTAGTTTACCGACCAGCTAGCTACCTTAGTAGATGGTTGGCACTACGCAACGCGCGGCAGGTTCATCGCCTAGTCATTGTACGGATACGAGTTAGTGAGTTGTGTATCGAGGCGGTGGGAGCTTCTTCTCCTACTTGTACAAGTGCGCCTCTGTTGAAAAGAAAGACAAGGCACAGAACGCGGCCGGTTTGCTGGCCCGGCGGCATCATTCGAAGCCGAGGGTGTGTTGAACTAATCTGCACTTTTAATACTTGGTGACCACCCAACTTTACTTGTCAGGCTTTGGGGCTTAGATGTACCAAGTAGCGCAGCAACAAGTTTGGAATCCTAGCGCCACTGCTTCCCCCGGATGGAACTCTGACCGAGAGACACTTTGCTCCTCCAATGAGAGACGAGGCATTGCTGAGCTGCCTGTCCCTGGGGCGTGAAAGCTTGTTTTGGGCCTTGTTCTAGTTCGTCTGGCTGGCCCATCCATCGCTCACAGCACCGCACAGCGCGTAGATGTTGTCAAATCCCCCTCCTCTTTTCTTTTCCCTGGAATATTCCGCCATCGCCCTCTACTTAAGATGACCTTTTGCTTCCATCACCCGCGTTAAAGAAAAACACGCAGGGAAAGCCAAGTTTGAAGAGACAAGCTGCCTGATGAAATCGTGGGCATTGGTGGGCCACCATCAACGGGAAGGAATGAAACAGTCAGCGCAACACAGAGAACAGACCCCAAAGGCAAATATCCCGTACGGATAGTAGGCTGTCATCTACAAATTAATCTGCACCCTCCCCCATCTGGTTGATGATCAAACGCCCCCCCCCGGCGGGGTGACGCCTCTTTGTAGACTGCCCAGTGCCGCCAGTACTAATCGCTTTTTTTGAATGCCGCAGCCCTTGCTTGGCTTCAAAAGCTTCAGCTTCAGAGGTGTGGCTGTAATTGGGGGGCGTGCAGCTCTACCACTCGTGGCGGACACACTAGATAGTTGGAACAAAGGTACATATCTCGAGAAAAGCCCTCGTCAACGGGTGGCCTGTCCGTCCCTCCATCTCTTGTCATCACTGTACATCAATTTACGCACTCTGTCCATTCTGCTGTACGCAGCACAACAACACAGCCGCTACATTCGACTAGCATCGACTACAACAGACGACTTCAAACGGCGACAGATAACATCTCGCGTGCTAGAACCGCGGGACCAAGGCATCATGGGCTTGGGCCATTCCTTTGCCAGCGCTATAGCGCTGGTCGCTCTGCGTACGTTTTCTCCCACATTGTTGCAGACCCTTTCCCCCCCAGCTCACAGTCTCTCTTTTTTTTTTCCCAGACTCCCTCGGCGCGCTCGCCGTCAGCGCCCCGCACTGCGTCGGCGCCAACTCGCAGGTGTGCTTCACCTGGGGCGTGCCGTCGGCCGCGATCCAGTCGGGCACGGGCAACGTCTACTTCCAGCTGCGGGCGCCGGCGACGTACGCGTGGGCGGGCCTCGGCATCGGCAGCCGGATGAGCGGCGCGCAAATCTTCCTCATGTACAAGGACGGCACCGGCAACGTCACGCTCAGCACGCGCACCGGCACCGGCCACGTCATGCCGCAGCACACGCAGCGCCCCGCCGTGGCCCTGCTCGCCGGCTCCGGCGTCGTCGACGGCCAAATGATCGCCAACGTCCGCTGCGCCGACTGCGCCCCGAGCGCCAGCCTGTCCGCCGCCAGCGGCTGGCTGTCGGCGTGGAAGGCCACCGGCGCCCTCAGCTCCCAGGACGTCGCTGCCCGCATCGACTACCACGACGACCACGCCGTCTTCCAGATCGACCTCGGACAGGCCGCCCTCGCCGAGGATGAGAACCCGTTTGTGGCCAGTAGCGGTGGGAGTGGCGGCAGCTCCGGCGGCGGTACCAACGACGGGACTGGAAACGACGGGACTGGAAGCGGCGGGACTGGAAGCGGCGGGACTGGAAGCGGCGGCAGCATCGTCTCCCCAGGCGGCGGCGGCTCCGGCTCTGGCGTATCCCCCGCGCTTCGCTATGGTCACGGGGTCCTGATGATGATTGTCTGGGTCATCTTGTACCCTGCCGGCGCTCTTCTGATGCCCCTCCTCGGCAAGTGGATATTCCATGCCGCGTTCCAGACTATTGCCTTCCTGGCCATGTGGGCAGGCCTTGGGCTGGGTTATGTCATGGCCGATCAACTCGGCATTGTAAGTCATCGTGTCGCCCGATCCTTCTTGTCCAACCACAGCACTAACATGGTATAGTTCTGGCAAAACACGCACACTCGTCTCGGAATCATTGTCTGCGCCTTGATGTTCCTGCAGCCCATCCTAGGCGCCCTGCATCATCGGAGCTTCAAGAGCGCCGGACGCCGCGGCCCGCTGAGCCACATTCACGTGTGGTACGGCCGCGCCCTCATGATCCTGGGCATCATCAACGGCGGCCTGGGCCTGCAGCTGGCCAACGCGGGCATGCCTTTCCGTACCGCGTACATTGTGCTCTCCGCCGTCATTGCCGGATCCTATTTCCTGGCCATCCCCTGGTTAGAGCTGAGAAAGGCCAAATCGGCCAGGAATCAGCCCATAGGCAGCCCTTCACGAAAGGGCCTGGCTAGGAGTGCGGCCTCTGACGAGACTTCAAGTCGGTAGGCGAGCGTGGTGCTGTAAATCAGTGTTGTCTTGACAATTGTTGAAACCGGTTGGTGGTGCCTAGTTAGTGGCACTCCCCGAACACATAACCTGTTTATTGTTCATTTTCTTTTTCTGTATTTGATAGATTGTTTATGCCCCAAGAGAGCGAGTATTAGTACATGTCTTTTTACAACATCTTCTCATTCTTCAAGAGATGGGAGACCACAGGGTCAAATTCGGGGTCTGCATTTTAGCTGCGAGGTAACCCAGCATCAAACTCGGGCAGCTTTAGGTCGTCAATCTGCAGCCAAATCGAGGCAACTTGCAATTGTTTGTCTGCTTTGTCCACATGAAGATTGCATTCCTCGACAATCCGGTGCGTTGTAGTGTCAGTCAACTGGCCCAACAAGCCTCCTTCATAGCTTGATGCAACCACTACAATTGAGTCACGTGATCCAAAAAAAAAAATATGGCAGCCTCCGCCTCAGGCAGAAACTTGGAAACCAGCCACGGGCTAAGCCGGGGGAGAAGAGACCCAGCCAAGGTCGACATCACGATTTTCACAAAACCCTCAGTCCATCCTGCCAATCTCGGGTTTTCCCATTGAGCAACGCCAACCCATCCAAAATGCTCAGCCAAATCTCTCGGGTCGCTGTGAGTTCTCCCCACCCTGCTGTGCCCTTTTTGCCGCGCAATCTTTGCCGCCGCTTCGTCGCTCAGGAGCTTTTTGCTGACTTGAGGGGGGGCTGTCCTGTTCCCGGTTAATAGCGCGCCCGCTCCGTCATTGCCACCGTCTCGCGATCGGTACAGACAAGGACCTTTATTGCTCCTACCGTCTCTCGCAGAGGTAAGCTTCCTTTTCTGAGCGGAAGCGATGATTTTCCTTTCGACCGGGTTGGATATGGGCGATGAACACGAGGTGGTACGATCGTCTCGGAGAACAGCGGATTTTGCAGCAAGCCGAAGCGCCCGACCAACTCAAGCTCGCCGCGTACCGCCAACGACATCAATTGGTCGAATTGCAACACCTTGTTACCTAAGGCACTCGGAGAATGGAACTTCATTTCGGGGCCGCGGCTCTTTTCTTTTTTTGCGGCGCTGTTGATTCAGGAGCAAACGAAAGCTAACACTACTTGTCTGTTCTTCTTCTAGCCGACTTTGTCCAGGAGCTGTACCTCAAGGAGCTCAAGGCCTACAAGACGCCCGCCGTCAAGGAGAACGACTCGGTCGGCCAGGTCCAGACATTTTCCGAGCCCAAGACGCCCAAGTCCCCCGAGGAGGCCGACCTCGCCAGCAGCCTGCAAGAGTACGAGAGCATGGCCGTCGAGATTGAGGGCCAGGACGCCGCGCAGCAGTCTGGCACCCCCGCCGTCCTGCCCGACTGGCTCGAGGCCGAGACCGAGGAGGCTCCCAAGCACTAAACCCCGACAAACTTGCCATGAGAAATAAATGCATGACGGGAAAGGAGCGAACCAAGTTGGGAAATCTCGGCAAACAGAGGACCAGAAATATCCGCCATGACTGATAGGGAAAACCCCTTGCTATTTGTTTTAAAACTCGGCGCGCCAATTGGCATGGTGGATGGACGCGAGATGACGGGATATTAATCTTTGGGCTATAGGTGTGGAGAGCCGTGGCTGTAGGAGACGTGGGAAGGGGGTACGCGGACATGACTGCTATACGGGCGCGGTCCTATCGTCTACTTCTTTTGTACGCGTTTTCCCTTTGGACGGCTGCTCACCCGCTCGGCATTCGGGCTGGGCGGAAACAGGATTCAGGTGCCGGACGAATCCTTGTTGTACATTTTTTCCTTGTAAAAGAAATCAGAACAGCCTTGCATGAGTGTAGGATGTTGATACGTTTCTTTATATCGTTTCTTTTTTCTGTCTTGTCTCAATGCAACCAATCCTAAGCGTATTACCCGTCTCTGCGTGATGTGTGCCTGTACTTTTTATAAACCCTGGATGCGTTCCAATACGAAAGGTCGCCAATGCATAACGCAAGCAGCATGTGACGTTGCCCTGCTGTTCATCATGCACAATCTTGTTCATGTAACTACGGGTCTTGTACATCCGACACTCGCGGCCAATCGACACCACGAACCTTGCCATGTCCTGGTTTCTCTTACAATGGCCACGAATACCAGGTCAGCACGTCGGTGGCGTGTAGAGTCCCAAGATGCCCATAAAAAGACCAAGAGGCAAAGAGCTATTATTTTGCAGTACATGGAGGCACGCCAGCACAGCAAAACACGTCGTCACCATTGAAGTACTCCCACATCAGTCTCCTCAGCTCTGGAAGCGACGCAGATGAAAAGAAGAAACTAAAAAAAGAACCTGCAGTTTGTTACAAGACAGCAGACGAAAGTGAATGACCTGCACAGAAAATGGTTGATACGCTGACCCATTCTCGCCCTCATCTCAAGACGTCAAGTCCAACCCACTCGTTCCCTTGGGCACACACCATCAACATGAATCTCAATTAAAAGGCTGTCTTCTTTTTCTGCTCTCCATTTTCATTCTTCAATAGCAGGAATCAACTATCCTCTTCTTTACAAGAATATGCGACATCAACGGGCAAGGAGTGCACGTACTAGGAGACAAGGCAACATCATCATCGTAAAACAACGCCGAAAAATTTCATTATCAAAACACGCAATCAATACATAAACACAGGGAAACAAAAAAAAAGGCCAAAGAAACAATAAATACATCACCATTCCAAACGCCAAGATGAGTCTGTACGTGATTAAAGTTTGCCTGCCTCCCTTTGCCCGCCCAAAAAAAATGCCTGCCAGAATGATTCCGCCAACCGCCCGCATGCCCATGATTTCGTAAACAAGACAAAAAGAAAAGAAAAGAAGAACGTCTTTTTTTAATTCTCCCACCCAGTGCCTTTTGTTTTGATCCTTTTTTTGCATAATCTTTCCGGTTTTGTTTTATCGCAAGGGTACCACAGCATAGACACTGAGCTGCATATTAATCATCAAAGTGCCCACCCACCATTTGCTCGTCGTGAGTCGAAGTGCGCACGATGCCACTCATCCTGTTACCCTTCTTCACATCAAAATCGTCCAGATTGTCCCAGTCGTCATCGTCATTGCCGTTGGTGTGGTGCCCCGCATCGTCCATATCCTCATCGTCGAGGTGCGCGCGGTCACGCATGTGGTCGTCTAGCGCACTCTCATCGACAAAGGTGAAGCCCTGGAAGTTGGCCTGCACCGACGGCGACAGCGGCGTCGAGGCGGCGTAGCCTCGAGCGAGAGCCGCGGCGCGCTCGTTGAGGGATCCGTTCTGGTCCAAAGCGGTGGTGAACTCGGGGTCGAAATAGGACACATCGGTTTCAGACTTGAGCTTGGGCTTGAAAGGAGGAGCGATGCGCCTTTGTGTCAGGAGCGTCCAGTCAATATCGTTGAAGAACGGATGTTGCTTCAGCTCCTCGGCGTCGTCCGTAGCACCTAGGCGATGCTTGGGATTTCTGTTCAGCAGGCCCTTGACAAAGTTGCGGCCCTCTTGCGACAGTGTGTCCCGCGGAAAACGGACCTTTCCAAAGGCGATATTCTTGTACATTTGCTGCGTATCTTCAGCATAAAAGGGACTCCAGCCGCAGCACATCTCAAAGACCAAAACACCAAGTGACCAAAAGTCTACCATCTTGGTATAGCCAGACTCGTCGAGTAATACTTCGGGTGCGAGATACTCGGTGGTGCCACAAAACGTATTCGTAGTGTCATTCTTTGTGAGGTTGGCCTTGGAGAGACCAAAGTCGCACAGCGCAATGTGGCCATTGGCATCGAGTAGAATGTTCTCGGGCTTTAGATCTCGGTAGACAATGTCGTTGTTGTGGAGATGTTGAATGGCGAGAATCAGCTCGGCAATGTAGAACTTGGCGCGTCTCTCGTCGAAGCGGCCCTCCTTTTGCAAATGCCAGAAAAGCTCTCCGCCAGACATGTAGTCGGTAACCAGATATAGTTCAGAAGGGGTTTGGAAGGAGAATTTGAGGGCAACAATAAAAGGCGAGTCCGTGGTGGCGGTGCGGACAAGAATGTTGCGCTCGCCGACAGTGTGGGCCACTTCCTTCTTCTGTACAATGACCTTTTTCTGCAGAACCTTCATGGCGTAGATGCGCTGCGTGTCCCTCTTGCGAACCTGGTAGACTTGGCCAAATGTTCCCTTGCCAATGAGCTTCAGAATTTCGAAATCGCTGGGGCCGTAGTGCTTCTTTTCCGTACGCTGGTACAGGGCTTCGACGTAGACCTCGCCAGTGGGCGCATTTTCGGCAACAGTGTTGACGTGGCCCTTGAGGGGGAACCAGCCGCGGACCGGCGTCTCCTTTTCCCTAGGCGCTTCAAAGTTGACATGACCGAGAAACTCGTCGCCGTTATTGGGGGTGTGGTCGTATACGGACACGTCTACCAATGAGCCGGAGGCGACAACATCACTGCGAATATAGGGATTAGCTGAAGAAACCATACGAGACGAGCGTGTTCGTGCATACAATACAGCCTCCGCATCCCATTTGGGACTTGTGAAAGAAGAATTGCGGCCGTTGCGGCTGCGGAAGGTGTTGTAATCGGTGATGCTGGTATTGCTGCTCTGACGACTCCGCATGGGAATGGCCATGGGACGGCCAGAGTCACTCCCTGATCGTTGGATGGGGATGCTACCGATAGCAGCCTGAGCGACATTGAGGGGTTCGTCGTCCTCGGTAGGTCGAGGACCGCCCGAGATGAGCTCGGAACGCTGAAAGACGACAACGACGTATGGATCGTGACACTTACGCAGACCGCGAGCCTCGGAGATTTTGATCGTCAGCTTGCCACGCGAGGGGGGAACCTGAGCACCAGTGGATCGAGGGGTCTGCGTTCCGCTGGTTTCGGCGCCATCGTTGCTGGTGCGGGAGACTGAGTCTTTGCCGTCTGATAGTGAGGGACGGGCAGTCGAGAGAGCTCTGGTCGGGGTAGGAGGACCGCTCTTGAAGATGATACCACGTGTTAGCTCTTTGAGCCCACCAAAGGAAAACCACTTGCTAGACGGTTGGGTAGTTGAAGAAGAAGAAGAAGCAGAATTAGAAGAATTAAGAAGTGTAGTGTTATTAGGGTTGGAAGACTGGGCGCGGCTCTCATCTAGAGAGTGGACACCCCGGGTAGTGAAGGAGAGCTGCTGGGCGGCGCTCATGGCATTCGCGGCAAGAGAAGCAGACCGGCCAGCCGGTGCAGGGTCTTGCGGACGGGTGTTCAAGACGTGAATAGCCGAGCTTGCAGAAGAGCAAGGCTGCGACGGTGGTGGGGTGGGATAGGGATGGATGTTTGTAGTGAGATGCTGCGTAGGGCCGGGCCTGACTGCTAGAGGGACGGGAAGATGGGCAGCCGCCGATGGATGTGAAGGAGCGACGGTCGAGGAGGACGAGGAAGAAGGCGGCGCGCCAGCGTCTGGAAGAGGTGGTGGGCGCATTTGAGTCGCCTCGGACGCCGGTGACGGAGCCTCATCATCATCGGCCGCTGGTGCATCGGGGGCGGCGGTGGCAGCAGCAGCGAGGGCAATCTGGGGATTTTGGGATGTGTTGTGGGCATTGTGCTGCCGCTCGTCGAGGGAAGAAGGCGGAATGGTTGTAGAAGGGTCTTGACGAACCTGGCCGAAGTAGCTCATGATTCCGGGGAGGCGCTTGTCGTAGGGGTCGGGTTGAGGCGTCGCAATGCCGGATCGCGGGGTGTCTGAGCCTATTTGGTCGATGCCATCGTCTTCGGCGGCAGTTCTAGTGGATTGGTCAACAGTCTGCATGGTGGGCAGATGATTGAGAGATTTTATTGCAATATCGCAACTGCTTGAGAGGGGCCGGAGGAGAGCGAGAGGAGTAGACGGGGAGGGAGCAAGGGCAAGTGAAAAAACCCCAGTGCTCAAAGAGGAGACGAGGAGGGAAAAAAGGCGTGGTAGAAGTGGGCGGCGAGCGCGGGGGAGGGAGGGGCGTTGGGAGTATAGTTTGCAAGTGGTTCTTTGCGAATTTAGAGCGGTTTTTTTTCTGCCCGTCAGTCCCAGCAAGCCGGCTCGAGGAAAACTTGAAACGAGCAGCCGGTGGGAATAGAATGATGAGAGAGGACTAGTTCATGGCTGTTTGCCAAGCCCAGGAAGGAAGAGGTGGACCGGACAAGAGTAATGGAGAATGGAGATGTGAAGTTGTCAGAGGCGAGGCCGGCAACGGAGGAAAACGCTTGTGCGTCAAAGAGGCCACTTGTTGATGATGGAAATTTGAGGTGAAGGGGGGAAAAGTATGGCAGTAAAAAGTAGAAGCGATGGGAAATGGAAGCGGCGCAAAAAAAAAAAAACAAAAAGAGGACGGAGTAGCCGTTGCTGCTATGGAGATAGAGTGCAATAGTGAGAGTGTAATAGTGAGCAACCGAGTATCCGTATGGGAGCGAGGATACAAGGTTTTGAGGCATGCGCAATCAAAAAAAAGGTTGGGTTGACTGGGCTTGCTGGCCGGCTGGGCTAGGTTTGCGCCCCTGCAGACCGGGCGGCAATTCCGAGAGCGGATATTTCCAATTTGCCCTCTTTTTTATATATTTCCTTTTTTCCCCTGACTCTTTGGGGGATGCAATTGATTTGATTAATCGCCAGGCGGGCCAACCGACTGACAAGTGGCAGTGTCAGTGGCAGCGAGATAGGCAAGTAGGATGGATGGGCCTTTGCGGGTATTGACGAGAACTGGTGGCCACTAGCCGCAGAACCTAGTCTAGTACCTAGGAGCACGCTTGGAAATAGGTGCATCAGATAGGTACCGCCCAAAGCCACCTTGAGACTCAGTGCTGCCCAACGAGACTAGATGCCGGGAGATGCTGTGGCGCGCGCCGTCTGCGACAGCCCTGAAGGCTAGCAGCCGTGAGCTGTCCAAGCACAAGTGCTGTGCCTCGTCAGGACGTGGTGCTGGCTGGTTGTGCTGACCAGTCGTGTACATACTAATCAGTAGTACCAATGGTGTGGTTGTAGCCATGCATGTATGTTGTCATCGGGAATAGTAGGCGAGCGTCCCGAATTGGCAAGCCATAGAAAATTTGGTCCAGGTAGCGTTTGGCGGCCCAAGGAGCCATTCTCGCCGGCCCACCACAAGTCGGCGCCACGAGGGGGGGCCGGCTATGGAATAAGGTACGAATAGACGACTTATCGTGCATGCAAAAAGCAGACGCAAACGGAAATGCCGGCGTGCCTGTCATGGCTGGCATGGCCGACGTCGTGGCTGGCCGAGGCGGTCTGCATGCGAATGGGCGAGGCTGAACCCTGACGCGAGCGACAACGGGCATGAAATGAAAGAGTGACGTCCATGGCCGACAGCAGCAGCAGCAGCAGCAGCAGCAGCAGCAGCAGCAGCAAATTAAACACGGTTCGAGGGTGCGTCGCAGCCAAATGCAATGCACATCGGATCCTCCATCCCCTTTCTCCATGTGGGCAGCGCATTGGATATTGCCATGTGGTTTCGTAGTGGCCCCGGAGGGAGAGAGGAGAGAGGGCGGCAAAGCGCGGGAGGAGCAGGAAGACCGGGGCCAGCGAGTTCGTCCAGACGGAGGCGTTCGGAGAGACAACCCAAGAGGTCAACCAGGCTGGCTAAAAATGGAAGCATCTGCAGAAGCCGCCGCAGAAGCAAGCCAGAAGCACATGAGAAGCAAGCTCGGACCAGGTGGCTGGACTGGCTGCAACCCCCCCCAAAAAAACTCAAGAGTCAACCCGGAGATGATGGGTGTTCGCTTTGTCTTGGCTGCCAGCAGGCAAAGGGGCCCTCGTGCGTCTTCAGCGCTGTTTTAGCGGGCAAACCGCCAGAGACCGAAGAGACCAGCAGGGCTCCAGCGCGACTCTCCACTGCACCACACCTGTCGCTGACTCGCAGTAATACTGCCCAGGCGTGCGTGGCGGGCAAGCCGTTTTGCTTCTCTCCAAGTCTGCCCTCTTGGCCACGCCTTGCCCGGCCCATAAATAAGCCGGCGCTGAATCGAAGCGGAGCAGCACCGAATGGCCATGCCACCTAGGTAGGTAGTTCGCGACCGGTTTGCGTAGGTAGGTAAGACGTTGGGGTGGCCAGCCGTTCCAGCCAGGCTGAATTTCGTTGATGCTCGTTGCGCCGCCTTTCCGGTGGGAGAAGACAGCCATGGCACAGCCATTCTCGTCGCTGACAATGACGCTTTTGCCGTGTCGCGCCCCCTCATCTTTGCGAGTCGTGATATCAGAGAGCCCCGTTTGCCGCAGGTCGCCGTCTCCCGAATATCGTCCAGTGTCGCAGCATTCTCCCTGGATTTTTTGAAAAAAAGAATAAGAAAGCTCCCAACTTGGCAAGCTTTCGACGAGACCAGAAAAGGATTTGTTGATGCATGCTATCACCCGAGCAGCACGGGTCACCAAAGAGCAACGGGTTGGCAGCCCAGCCCACTAGGGCCAGCCGCCGTTGAGGAACCACTTCCCATGCCGCCACTCGGCGACGGACATGTTGGAGAACAAAAGAAAGGAACAAACAAAGAAACAGTAGAGAACAGCCCACTCACTTGGACATCATGGCTTGCGTCGCTCTGCGCAGCAGATCAAAACCTCCACCGTTGTTGTGGTGCGGGTGCGGATGCGTCGTGTCGTTTCCAGTCATTATGCCGGTCGTGTAAAAGGGAACCTAGATTAGAAAAGAAGAACAAGAGTGTGTGATGTGAGAAGAAGAAAACGAAAAGAAAAAAAAGAATGGACAAAGGGAAAAAGAAGGGAGGAGAAATTCCAGACAAGGTCAACGGCAGAGATGGTGCCCGCAGTCAAGGTTTGAGCCGTCTCTGGTTGATGCCGGGCAAGGTATATGTATGATGCAAGTGCGAAAGTTGACGATGAGAGCGGCCGCTATCGCGAAGCGCCTTGATTATTATTAAGAAGAATGAAAGCTGCGTACCGTCGTCTACCCGCCACCTCGTGCTGGGGGGGAGGCAAAGTACCTTGCCTTACCTTGTCTTACCCAGCGGCCAGTAATATGGTAGAGCGCGCGCCCGCCGAGAACATCGCCGGGAGCACGACAGCTAACGGGGTAGCACACCTACAAGAACAAGCTTCGAGCCGTCCGCCACCGCCAATCGCTTGTATTCTAGCAGGTTGCACGTATTCTCCCTAGATTGTATTTCTCGTCTGTTTCATTGTGCTCATTTCCTCCTTGTTATTCTACGCCCCGGCCACCGCACCAATCTACCGGCCGCCTTGATGGCCCGGAACCCATGTGCTGTACTTGTGCCTCTTGTGCCTCCAAATCCAGTGGCGGCTCTCTCCATCGGCCGCCCATAGTTAATTGCGGGACACTTGGATGTGCTTGCCTTCCCCGCAGGCAATGGAGGGGAACAGCCATTCATAACTAGTGCGTTTATGAGATCATTCGTTGCCCGCCTGCCTGGCATGCTCGTCGTTTCTTTTTTCTTTGCTTCTACATTCTTGGCGGGGGGGCTGCTGTCTGATGATGGAAGCCTCCTGCAGTATCCCCTCATATTACCCCTCACCTTATCTTAAAGCTTGCGTACTGCACACGGCGGTGCTAGACTGCCAAGCTAGGTAGGCATCACCGGGAGACAGAGAAACCGCCGGTTAGGAATACTATCATCTTCGTTATTCTTACTATTATCGTACTTGTTAACGTCTTAATCTTTCTAATAATAATCAGCTTCTTCTCTTCTTCTCTTCTGATTTTTAATTTTAATTTTAATTTTATTTCCTTTCCTCCTTTTACTGGTAACCCTCTTTTATGGAGTATCATCTGTCAGATTGTATTCTATTCATACTGTAGGAATAACGAAACTTTGTAGATTCTCTTAATAAACCAAAGAGAAAAGGGAAAAAGGAGGAGCCTCTCCGAGTTCGAGTCATCGTTTTGATTATTAATAACGAGATGCCAACAACTCTACATCTCAGTGCTGCGAGGCGATGCATCCCCGTTTGCCACCCACGACCCAAGCGCCTAGTGCATCTCCAAAACTTAGACTTTCCAATTCCTCATCTTCGACAACCGACAAGTATAACAATGGAATCAACACATCATTCAACAACATAACCGTCACAAAAGCAATGGCCGCGGAGAAACAAGCTCCCTATCGGAACCGGACGTGCCGAGCTACTACCCCTCATTTCTGTCATCCTCTTCATCCAGGTTATCGAGTCACAGACATAATCCCATCGTCAAGCCCCGGTCCCAACTGGAGCAATAATAATGGCCTCGCCGCCAAACCAAGACCGGCTCCGAATTCCACTTATATCGTCGAATCTCCGCACGGATGAAGCACCTTTGGACTACGTAGCAAGTTATCCTTACAACAGCCAATATTGATTTATAAAACATCGTGCATGCTAACGTCCTTGACCTCTCTCTTTTACCCACACGCTGGCACACCAGTCATGCAAATCAGAGTCTCGCCGTATGCATACATACATGTGACGAAATTACATACAAGTTATCATTAATATCTACCAAAGCAAGCAAGCAGCACACGTTCTCTCCTCAAAAGCTCCAAATGACACCCAGGCCATGCACGTTCCCACTTCCCTCGTCCCTCTCCCAATTACCCAATTCCTGCAATCCCATCACCTTTCCCCCCTTTCTTGCGTTTCAGCCAGTCGGCTCATCCCATGTACCGTATCCGTAGTTACGAATGCGTAGTCCGTACATGTTTCCCCCCATCCCCCGAAATAGCTTGATACGCAAGTCCAATCCCAACCCTTGTCATCAACGACCTTTCGCAGATCAGCCCCCTTCGTGGTGGCTTTTGCCTCGATGCGCTACTGCATTTTGATTGCTCCCTTGCCCTCGTACTCTTGCAGATGAGAACAGCCACATGTATATGAACTCACACTTTGCCACTTCAGCCCGGAGGCGGTGTACCACGCACGTTGGCACGCTCAGGCGTGGCCTCGACCTCGGCGCGAGACTGTCAGAGCGCGGAACACGCTCTACGATCGCCTCCCGGATTACGATATCGACATCTCGTCATATATCATAACCGAGTCTCGGACCACTTCGGGTCTCTGAAATAGTGACTACCCATGGAGGGGACAAAAAACTGGTAGTCCAGTCTGTAGAGACGAGAGTAAAACGGTTATAAGGGAGAAAGGGAGAAAGGAAAAAAAAACCAAGAAAGACTAAAAGGGTAAAAAATATCATTAGAAGGATAAAAATCATAATACTGAGAAGATAGTAATACTAGAATAGGGAAGATCATAATAGTATTGCTAACCGGCGGTTTCTTTTGTCTCCCTGGTGCCACCGCGACCAGGGAGTACATCAACCACGCACTACCCCTACTCTGACCTTGGCAATCCTCAGATGACGGGTCACGGCTGTAGCTCATGCACGCCATTGCGCCGCAAACCCGTGAAGACTGCTATTATCAGGTTTTGGACGGAATAATAACTGTTGTGTCTACACGCCACTCAGCGCCGCCGACCTGGGTGGCTGACACGGCGGCCCGAGATGTCCCCATCGCTATTCAACTTCCCGGCCTCTGCGAGGCTGTATAATGTACTAAACTCAATAATCTCCTATGTTTAGCTCTGAAATCTGCGCGGTTGAGCAAAATCCTAAAACCCAGCCTAGTTTGCCATGTACAAAAGAAATAGTAACCACACCGTTCGCTTTCGCTGTTACACTGCTGATCGAGTATGCTGAACAACACATTTTCCATTCCTCAGCCGCACATCGCACACCTCAGGTGGTACACGACATTCGCTACATCCTTCTAGCTACGCCGTTGCTCCGGGGTGGCTAAGAGTCTGTATAGCGTTCCTTCTCCAGCTCAGCTTGCATCGTAGACACCAAGGACGTAGCCATAACATATACAACGCCCACTAGGGGTATATTATTTTCTATTTGAATAGTACGAAGCTATCTTCGCACTGACTTGGCGATACTTGCGGTGCTGGACAGCATACTACAACCATTATGAAATGACGTTCTGGTGTGAGCAGCCACGACTGTATCCTTATCGCTGCACAGGGCCTGTATCCGCATACTTGCATGAGGCCAGTCGGAAAATGTCTATGTATGAAGCCGTATGATATTGTGTAATGGTAGAAGTATGGAAACCGGGATTCTGACGATGTTTGCTTTTGCTGTTGCACACAAACTGGTGATATGTGCCCTTGAACCCCGCTTCGAAAATGGAAAATCCAACCCTCTACTTTCGAGAGGCCACGCTGAAGAAAACACCACGCTGAAGAAAACATCGTCGGTGCAGATCCCTATGACGAAGCCCGCTGCGCCTTGGCCTTTCTGATCGCATCCAACCAGCTCTGCGTCATCTCGGCCGTCACGCCTTCTGGCACCTTGGACTTGGGATCTGGTGACGGACGAGCTTCCAGGGGATCGGGGTAGCGAGCTGCATCAAGTTATCAGTCTCAGATTCTACATATAGGCTGCCGCAGCATCTGCCAACTTACTTGGGTTGAAAGCAGCATCGCTCAGCCTGCTCTTGAGGTGGGCCTTGTCATCCCGAATGCGTTTGCCATGGGCCTTAGTTGGCACCATCGGGGATGAGTCGGTCATTCGTGTCGTGTTGAGCGATGAATATGTTGGAAGAAAGGAGAAGCAGCGAAATTTGCCTGCCCGTCGCCTTTATTGGCATCTACTTGGAATATGACGGAGGAGTGCGAGTTGGGCAGGTGGCGCGCCAACTGGTGGTTCTGCAACCGCGCCCCACCAGTCTTGTCCCTCATGACGCTTTCCAAGGCTCGAAAACCGAGCTGGTGCACACAAAACCTCACCATTAAACACGCAACTACCAGACATCCAACACCGCCTTCACGCATACCTATCTGCCCCAAGCTAGCGACTTACATGACTAGACGCTTTGATTCAGCGAGTTTCAGCCCATATTTAACCCCGATATCCATGCGTTGACCGTGGTCGAGTCTCCTGCCGTAAGCGTGCAAGAGACCGTTGTCAAATTTCATCTCACCCACCGGTTGCTGGGAGGAACCCCAGCCAAGCGTTGCCTATACCGAAACACTCGCTCCTGTATACACCCACAAGAGGAAAGTTTCAGGTCCGGAAACGGCGCTCGCGAACCACAATGGGCAAAAAGACGGCCGTTCCCGACGCCTGGGACGATGACTGGGAGGCGCAGGCGGACCAGGCTGCCCAGGAAGAGGCTGAGAATCCCACGCCTGCACCAGCTCTCACCAAAGCCGAGCGCCTGGAAGAACACGCCAAATCAAACCGCAGGCTCTGGGAAGCAGCGTACGTGGGGGAAAAAAATCCCACGCAATCCCAGAGCGTTGGAAATGCTGACCACCCTGTAGAGAATCCAACCAGACGTTTCACTACGTCGAGGCCACCAACACCGTGCCGCTCGCTGCCACGTTCAAGCCGCAGGTCAAGGTGCTCAGCCGAAAACCCGTCATCGCCAAGCGTGGCGAGTCTTCCGTGGACGACGACGACGCCAAGAAGGAGGTCCAGCTGAGCCCCGAGCAGGTCCGCGCCAGGCAAAAGCGCGAGCGCGAGGAGAAGCAGCGCAAGTACGACGAGGCCCGCGCCAAAATCTTTGGCGCGTCCGGCCCCTCGTCCCGCGGATCCTCGCCAGGCACCACGACGCCCCCACGAGCGCTCCCCGCGCAGCAGCAGCAGCAGCAGCAGCAGCAGCAGCAGCAGGGCCGAGGCCGTGGCCGCGGCGGCCGAGCAGGAGGAGGAGGTGCTGCGGATAATGCCCGCGGCAACCCGCTTGACTCGCGCCGCGCACCGCCGCCGCAGCCGGGCACCGGGAAGCTGTATGATCCCAGTTATGCGCCGAAACCCGACATGGGCTCTCCCCGGCGAGACGAGACGGCGGCGGCAGGGCGGCAAGCGCGGGACGAGGGCGCACCACTGCGGGCACCGCGCGGACCAGATGGCACAGGAAGGGGAGGGTTTGGATTTGCGCGTCGCGGCGCACGAGAAGCTTGAATTATGCTGTGACAAGCCTACGTCTATGCTATCTATGCTGTATATCGTTTAATCCCGGCGTCCCTCCGTAATTACCATCCGCCGCCAATTTTACCAGCGAGCTGCACCACGCGTTCGACTTCAGTCCCCTTGCCCACATCACTAATCACCTCGCGGTACGTCGTGAATGCCAGTTTCTGTAAATCAATGCCCGTCATGTCGGACCAGTACGCCAGGGTATCATGTATATACGCGTGCGAGATGCCGAGCACCTCGTCACCACGCGGCAGCCCGTCCACCTCGCCCCCCTCGTCCCCCGAAAAGTAGGCCTCGTCTACTTCTGCCAGCCACGCCTTTTGCTCCTGCGGGCCGGGCTTATCCGACACGCCGCCCCCGCCGCCACGACGCTCCCGCACCACGGCATCATCGACCTTGATCTGGCCGCCGCCGTTGGTGCACCCGCCCGGGCACGCCATGACCTCGACGTAGCCGTACTCGAGCGACGACGCGCCGCCGCCGCCGCCGGGCCGCCGGGCGCTGCTGCTGCCAAACGGCCTGCCGCCGGGCATCCGGGACGGACGCGCGGGCTTGAGCCGGCGCACGAGGTTCTGGATGTTGCGGAAGCCGTAGTACCGCGCGGCCTTGAAGACGGGCACCGCCGCTTCGCCGCTGCCCGCGACGGTCACGACGTACTCGACCACGTCGGCGTTGCGGCCCTGGATGACGCGCACCGCGGCGCCGGGGGTCTGCGCGGCGCGCGCCTGCAGGATGTGGTACAGCAGGCCGCCCGAGGACCCGGCGGCGCGGTGCGCGGGCGCCGACGGCTGCTGGAACAGGAACTTGTGGAGCGTGGGATCGGGGAACGGCGCGGCGGGGGGCGGGCCCGGCGCGCGCGCGAGCTGGAAAAAGTCGAGGCCCCTGCTCTCCGCCAGCATGAGGACCTCCTTGCTGGTGATGACGCAGTCGACGTCGCGCACGGGGCGGCGGCGGCCGTCGGCGTGCGGCGCAGCAGCAGCAGCCCACGCTTCGTCCGTCAGCTCCGCGCGGCTCGCCTCGAGCTTCTTGTCGAGGCACGGCATGACGGCGAGGTGCCAGATGCGGTGCGGGGGGATGCCGAGGGCGCGGCCGAGGCTCGTCTTGAGGAGCGTGCCGGCGAGCGCCTGCGGGGACTTGACGCGGGACAGGTGCGGGAGGACGTGGGGGTGCGTCTTTTCGGCGTAGCACACCCCAGCCGGGGGCACGAGGAGGCGAGGATCGGTTTTTTCGCAGCAGCAGTTGTGGAGGAGGAGGCAGCGAGCAGCACCTCGTCGGCGCTCAGCACGTGCGTCATGGCGCGGGCCGGGTTCGTGTCCACGACCCAAGCGAAGCCGGAGCCGTGGCGGCCGCCGCCGGGCAGCCCGGCGGGCCCGCGCAGCAGGGACTCGAGCATGCGGCCGGCGCGGGCGGGGGAGACGCCGGGCCCGCAGGCGGCGGCCAGGCTGGCGCGCGTCTGCGGGCTGACGCTGGCGACGAGCAGCTTTGCGTTGTCATGCTCCAAGCCCTGGACGGTGTACCGCGCGCCGCCGGGGCCGGGCGGGAGGACGCGCAGGGCCGGCGCGGCGTCGAGCGTGGCGAGCACCTCGGCGTGCGACTGCAGGCTCACGAGGACGGCCTCGGCTGAGGTGACGCACCCGGAGCACGCGAGGCAGTCGGTGAGGGAGATTTCGGCGGGTGGTGGTGGCGGCGCGGCGGAGGCGGAGCGGGCGTCGCCGTCGAGGATAACTTCGGTCTCGAGGGAGGAGGAGGAGGAGGAGGGAGGAGCGGCGGCGGGGAGCGTCTCGATCGGCTTGATGCAGGCGACGCCTGGCGCGATGAAGTCGTTGAGGTCGTCGGTGGAGAGGATGGCGCTCATGGTCGGGGTGGGGTGCGCGCTGATGAAGCGGCTTTGAGGGGAAGTGTGTTGTGCTGGTTGTATGGTGTGCTATCTCGTCGTTGGTGTTTTGGTGTTGCTGGTGGTGGTGATTTATGGGTGCATTCGTGTGACCGGCGTTTCGGCTCGTCGACGCCGAGAGGGTTCTTGGCTGCGTTTTGGGATCGCCGTGCGGTGTGCAGCAGTTGTAGATGGCCAGACCGCTTTGTTGATTGGGTATATATTCGTCTCTCAACCAAGCAGGGAAGAACAAGAGTTGTGCGTATAGAGGTCGTAAGAAAAGCAAAGGATTTGGTGGGCATGTGAAGAGGAAAGGAACGAAATCAACTTCTTTTTAGTGGCGGTTTGCCCCCGCGCAATGACAGCCAGGCGATTAGAAATTGAACCGCCATGGGAAGCCCCACCGCTGCGAGGTCGGCGCGCGCTAAACCTACCTGGGCTGCCCACTGGAGCCATCAAGACAGCACGCGAGATAAAGAAAGTTGCCGTTCGGCACAAAAAAACTGCAAAGGCTCTCTGGTAATATTACGTGGCATGTCCCGCGGGCGAAAAAGAACTATTGTATAGTTATTCTTCTCATAAACAAAAAATCAATCGCGTCATCAGGTACCTGTGCTTTGCAAACACTGTCTTGTACACATGAATGACTGAAGATCAAGTAAACACAACAAAATTCCATGGCAATATCCCATGAACCAGAAAAAACTCCCTTGAATCGTCGTACCTTTCATATCCCTCTTTCCGTTGTTGTATTATATACCTATCCATTGCCTTGGTCAGTGGTCTCGGGGTTGTCTCAGATCTCCCACGGGCGGTTCGAATTCAGGAAACCAGAATAGCGCATAGACTTCTCGTCAAGGTCTTGACCGTCCCAAGAATTCGTTATAATTGAACAGGGGCGCCATTCCTACACGGCGACAGCCTCCCCCTTGGGCTCGGCGGCCTTTTCCGGCCGCAGAGTCACAGCCGCCTCCTCGACGCCATTCTCCCGCGCCACCGGCGTCTTCACACCGTCCGTCGCCGTCGCGGGCACCGCGCCGTTGGCAATCTGCAGGTCCGCCGCGCCCGCCAAGACGGCCTGCCGGCGCTCGTGCCAGTCGACCTCGCTCTGGATGACCTGCGCGAGCAGCGTCTCCTTTTCGAGCCACTCGCGGTAGTAGACGGCCTCCCACTCGCGGCACTCGCGCGTGAGCGTCGCGCCGACCTCGCCCGCCCACTTGGCCTCCCAGAAGCACTTGCGGTACAGCTTGTCGACGGAAAAGGCGAGCTCGTCGGCCGTGAAGAGCTCGCTCGTCAGCGGCGTAAAGTACTCGGCGTGGCCGACCTCTTCGGGCGTCGCCTCGTCGCCCTCGCCCTCGCCGCCGTGGGACTGGGGCGTCTTGATGATGATCTTGAGCTTGCTCCCCTTGCCCGGCGGGCCGGCCTGCATCGACTTGGGCACGGGGTCGGATGGGCGGAGAGCCTCGGTCTCGTGGACGGTGCGCATGTGCTTCGCCAGGGCGTCGGACCTTGTAAATGATCGATCACACTCTGCAGCAGGTTAGTCGGCTGTCCGTGGAAAAGGATGGTGTGATTAAGAAGAAATTCATGGCGGTGTCAAGACGTACCTGGTAGGTAGCAGTAAAATGGCTTCTCCCTCGTATGGCTGCGCATGTGCGCCTTGAGCGCGTAGCCGCTGGCGTGCGTCAGGCCCTTGCGCGGGCAGCTCTTCCACTCGCATGTGTACTTTTTCTGGCGGTTCTCAATGTGCGAGTTGTGAATGTGCTCGACCAGCCGATCCATGTTGCCCTGGTCGCCAGCATCGCAACCATCCCAGTCGCAGACGCTGACCTGCTCCTGGAAGTCCTCCTCCTCTAGCCGCGTGTTGGCGGGCGAGCTGGGGATGTCGCCCGACGTGTCCGACGACAGGTCCGACATGCCCTCGAGCGGGTCCGGCTCGGGGACCACGTCCTGTTCGTGGTCGGCGTCGTGGACCATGGCAGATGACGCCCGCGACGCCCGCGACGCGCCGTCGACCTTGAGGCGCTTCGACGGGCGCGACGAGGCGTCGTCGTAGTCGTGGCCGTCGTCGTCGGTGTGGTCCGATGACCGCACTGAGGACAGCGGCGATTCGGGGGGTGAGTAGCCGCGGGCCATGTCTGTGTGTGTATGTGTGTGTGGGCGAATCTGACGCCGTGTGAAAAAAATGAATTGGCTGCCTCTAGTGAGGTTTGCGGCGCTGGTGTCGGGGTTGGCGTTGTTGCTGCAAATTCGCAATGGTACGCGATTGGGGAGGCGGTCGGATGCGCGCGATGCGCTCCCTAAGAAGAAATGGATGAAAGAGCGTGGGTGCGTTGGTGGTTGGGTCAATGGTCGTGTGCAGTGGTTGATGGAGAAGAGAGAAGGAAGGAGACGTTGCGTCAAGGGGGCAGCGAGATGCACTTTTGGATCATGTTTGCTGCGATAGCTCCGACTACGAGACCACGCTCCATTGGCCCAATTTTGCCTCAGCAGCGGGCCACCAACGCATTACGACACGCCAATTTTGTTAGCAAAAGAAAAGAGACTGCACTGTATTTAATTCGGACAAGAGAGACATAGTTTATCAGGTATATGGAATTTCATCGTCAGCTCATTTGAGCGCCAAATTGTATTGCTCAGATCAAAGCACATATAACAAAGAAAACTTTTCTCATCCCATGGCGTGTCCATGCGCCGGCATCTCCCAAAATCTAAACCCATCATGACATGCGTGAATATACTAAAACAAATCAACAAGCTTAAGCAGAGCCATTGATAATCTTGCGGCGCTGCTTCACAGCATCAGCCAGGTTATCCAGAACGCTGACAGTGTCCTCCCAGTGGATGCAGGCATCAGTGATGCTGACACCGTACTTGAGGCCAGCCTTGCCCTCGGCGGGCACTTTTTGGTTGCCTATGCAATGTTAGTCTGGTCACTCAGTCTGCCCGTCAAGAAAATGCGACATACCCTCGTTGTGGTTGCTCTCAATCATGACACCCATGATGGCGTTCTCGCCCTTGGCAATCTGCTCGGCGATGACGGCGGCGACCTTGGGCTGGTTCCTGTGGTCCTTGAGCGAGTTGCCGTGGCTGCAGTCGACCATGAGGCGCTGTCGGACGCCCTTGCTGGCGAGCGCGGCCTTTGCCTCGGCGATGCTGGCGGCGTCGTAGTTTGTGCCGCGGGTGCCGCCGCGGAGGATGGCGAAGCAGTCCTCGTTGCCGGTGGTGCCGACAATGGCGACGACGCCGGGCTTTGTGACGGAGAGGAACTGGTGGGGGTGTTTGGCGGCGCCGATGGCGTCAATGGCGACGCCGAGCGAGCCGTCGGTGCCGTTCTTGAAGCCGACGGGGAAGCTGAGCCCGCTCGAGAGCTCGCGGTGCAGCTGGCTCTCGGTGGTGCGGGCGCCAATGGCGCCGACGGACAGCAGGTCCGCGAGGAACTGCGGCGAGATGGTGTCGAGCATCTCGCTCGCAATCGGCATGCCGCGGTGCGTGAGGTCCACGAAGAGCTGGCGCGCCAGCCGCAGGCCCTTGTTGATCTGGAAGCTGCCGTCAATGTCCGGGTCGTTGATCAGGCCCTTCCAGCCGACCGTCGTGCGCGGCTTCTCGAGGTACGACCGCATCACGATGAGCAGCTCGTCCTGGTGCTTGCGCTTGGCCTCGAGCAGCAGGTCGCAGTAGGCGAGCGCCGCCGCCGGGTCGTGGATGGAGCACGGCCCGACGACGACGAGGAGCCGGTTCTGGGCGTCGGTGCCGTTGACCACGGCGACGGCCTCGTGGCGCGACTCGAGCACCGTCTTCTTCGACTCGGGCGTCTGCGCAATCTCGTGCTGCAGCAGATCGGGGGGCGTCAGAGGGTTGTAGCCGCGAACTGGGCAGGGGCTGCGTTAGCATGCGGCGAGTTTACATTGGGTGGCCGGATCTGGGGTCAAGCACGCACTTCGCCAATCTTCCGAGTCGGCCTTGTTGCCGACATTTTTGTTTTCAATGTAGAACTGCATCCGGAGCGCAACGAAGTCAGTCACCCCGCCATCATGTCGCTGGGGGAAAAAATGTCGCGGGGTAGGGCAGCAAGCTGGCCTGAACGTACCGAAGCCATGGTGCAAAAGGGTATAAGAGGCGCAGGCAAAGGAATAAATAGACACGAGTATATATTGGAGAGAATTGATGCAAGAATTTCGTCTCCAAAGCTGCGCAAGAGCGTGTAGATGGGTTGTATGCAATGGCAGGTTTTTTGTAGAACCCGCAAGGACAAAAGACGGCAGCAATTTGGCTGCACCCTAATTTTTGCGTGTGAAAAGCGCCGGCGCCGGAGGCTATGAGTCGATGGCGGGGCAGCCAGCGACAAGATGTGTGTGGTTTGCTCAGGCGCTCTGGCGCTCTCAATGGGGAGGGTGGTCAATAACGGCCGTGCGATTGGACGCCCAAGATCCTCAGGGTTGTGATTACATGCATGAGCCTATATCAGCAGGGAATCGTTGTCAGTCATGTCAAGATGCGGTGTATGTCGGTATCGGACCTTGCTGTCTGTCCTACCGACAAACAGAACACGGCGAGATCTCGCGCCCGAGCCAGTGGCATGATCGTGGTCTGATATGCCCAAGAGACCGAGTATAGGCCGTCATCGATGGTGCAATCGCACAAGCAGCACCGCTGAAAGGATGTCTTATGCTGTATTGTGTTGAAGCCTATCGAGAGCAAGGAAAGATAGACTGTCTCAGTTGAGTGCATGTACATCCTTCTGCCACAATCAATGCATCTTACCTACCTATTCATCTGCATACCCTTGACTCGTGCACAATCAAACGCCCCGCCAAAAAGTTGTGCAGCCGGCCCAATATCTCTAGCAAATCGGCATCGGGCGCGCCACGAATTACCCCCAGCGAATAAGTCATCGCCCTAGTCACCCGTGATTATGAACGATCAACCTTTAATGCACTTTTCATCACGACAAGTGCTGTCGCTCAATACAATACATGCACACGAGTAGTCAATGCTAGGAGTATGAGTTTGCATCAGGGTATATTGTAAAGGATAATGATGAGAAATTGGTAGCTGCGCTCCTCGTTGCAACCCAAATTTTTTCGAAGAAAAAAAAAGCCCTCCGAAATTGTCCAAATAATATACACAATAAATAGCACATGACACATGGCAAACCATAATTCGTGGCCCAACATGTGTCAGAATCGAAAATTGTCATAGTCTTTGAGAATGTCGCTCAGATCCGTAAACTGCGAGGTGAAAAAGTCATTAGGCAAATCACTCAAATCATGCGACGCAACCAGGTCCATCATGGACGTCGAGTCACTCGCCGACTGCTGCGAGTGCATACTACCCGGGACACCACCTCCACCAGTGAAGCTGCCGTCGTCGTACGGCTGCGGCGTATTCATCTGGCTGATTTGAAAGTTGTTGGTCTGCACGCCTGGCGTAAACGGCCCCGCGTCCGCACCACCGCCCATGGCCATTTCAGCAAGCGCCGCGGCGGGTGGAAATACAGTCTGCTGGTCATTGAGGACGGGTGCGAGCGGCATGGGTAGTGTTGTGGGCGGTGTGCCGACCACGTCGGTGGTAAACGGGTGGTGATGCTCAGGGGCGGCCGAGTTGGCGCGGGGCGAGTGCTGGGCCGAGGTGTGGTTGGAGACGCGAAAGGATTTGATCATGTGCTGGACGCGGTGCAGCTTCTGCTTGAGGGCGCGGGTGACGGGTGAGTGGACCGAGAGGTGCTGGACGAGCTCCATGGCGGCGAGCACGTCGGGCAGGTAGCCGACGCGGTACTCGGCTTCGGCATAGCAGAGGAGCAGTAAGAGAGAGGCAAGGGCCGTCTCGAGAAAGTGGTTAAAGGTGCGCTGCTGAGCGTGGTAGATGTCCGTCTCGCGAGCGAGCGCAATGAGCACGCGAATCGTATCCTGCGACGTCTCGGCGAGCACATTTGTGGTGGACGTGTCAAAGGGCCCGCCGCCGCTGCCGCCGAGCGACATGGCCGACTTGCGGTGAATGACGATGCGCATCTGGTTGCAGCGCAGGTAGAGCACGAGCCGTAGCCGGTACTCGCCGCGCTTCTCACGTGCGGGGTCGAATTTGTCCTGTAAGCCGCGGAACTGCAACCGCCTGGGTATGTTTTTGGAAAACTGGGTGACTTGAAAGTCGAGCAGGTTGCGCGTGGCGGCAAGGGCGGTAACGGTGGCGGTGGGGGACGAAGAGGGTTGGAGGATGGAGCGACGGACGTCGGCGGAGATGATGCTATACTCTATCATCTGTCGAAGATAGGTGGAGGAGAGCGAGTCGTCCTGGGATTTGGTTAGAAGTAGGAGGTGTGGGCGGCCGGGTGTCAACTGACTTTAAAGTGTGGTTGGCGATGAATGTCCGAGTCGTGGACGGAAAACGGCAGACCTGTGCCAAATCCCCAGCGTCGGTCGAGAGTGTATACAGACCAGTAAAACTTTTCGCCCACGTCCTTGAGCTGGTCCAGCGTCGTTGAGTTGGGCGCATCTTCGGTATTTTGGGCAATGATTTCGTGTAATGAGCGGAGCACATTGCCAATGGCTCTCCAAGCCAACATCTCCTTGTCGTTCAGGAAGAAGAAGATACTCTGGGGAAAAGGGTCAGTTGTGTTGTGCAAGACTTGTTCACTGGTACTTACGGCAAGTATGATTATGGACAAGTCCGTCTTGTTGACTGCGCCCAGCTGTGTTCGCAGCATGGCGCGGCTAAACAAGCCCTCGACAAAACTATTGGCGACAGGCAGGGTTCCGGGGTCGACGATACTAGAGGCGACGGAGAGAACCAGGGACATGATGTCCTCAATGCCGCCTTGGTCGTCGGGCACGGGGTTGGTCTCGCTGGGCGGGGCTGAGGCGCGGATACGGTGCCGCAGGGTCTCAAGGTCGAGGAAGGGGTACTGCAAGGCCACCTCCTCCTCATAAATATCTATAATACGTATCCAGAGCTCCTTGTCGAGCGGCGCAAAGGTACCCAAGGCGGCGCCAGCGGTTGTCTTACGGTGGTCGATGAGCTGTTGCATAATGTGGGAGCCAATCATGAGCTGCTGCTGGCGGCCGCTGCCAAAGAGCGAGCGGCCCGGGCCGGGGCTGAGGTCGCCGAGGCGCTTCTCGGCGAGGCGGAGGTAATAGTCGGAGCTGCCGTGGCGGGTTTGGGCGCTCGACTCGGCGCTGTTTTGTATGTGCGGCGGCGGCGGCGCGGCGGAGGGCGGCTTCTTGACGCGGAATGAGTCTCGTTCGCGGGGGGGCTTGTGAGCTTCATTGGAGGACTGTGAGTCTCGTTTTGATTTGCTGGATTTGCTGGTTGATTTTGTGAGTCAAATTGAAACGTTCGCAGTGGTACGAAGAAAGATTTGTAATGAAGAATGTAACTGTGTTCGTGTTGGGATGGGGAGGTGTTGTGTGAGTTTTGGTGGTGACGTACGAGGTCTCCTCTGTGGACTGGAAGCGTGTCGCGCGACCATAGACACACATGATGTCGCTGTCGCGACACCTCTTGCAGGGCCGTTCGCCGCTGCATTTTGTCTTTCTTTGCTTGCATGTTCTGTTGGGCGACTATGTTAGCGATGCGACTTTTGATGCGCCGTGCGTGGTCTTGTGCAGGCGAGCAATGCAAGTATTCACATACACACTATCGCGCGTGTGCAGGTTAGCAAGAGTCAATTGCGAAGCAGAATGTTTGCGCCGCTGTTTGGCGCACATACCAAGCAATGGCCACATAGGGAGAGCGCTTCTTGCGCGACTTGAGGGTGGGCGAGCCCATGGGCTGCTGCGACACGGGCGAGGGCATCGAGGCAGCGGCTGGAGGTGACTGCATCATGGCTGGTGAGTGGAGGAGGCGAGGGACGTTTTTCTTGGGCGGCGAGGATCGGGTGCGACGGCGGCGGGAGATGGAGGGCAAAGCATGGATGCGGCCATGGGAGGGGAGAGACTAGGTGACGAGCGACGACGACATGCTCACGGCTGGGGGGTTGATGTGAGGCGGTGGCGATGAGGGTTTACGGAACGGACGAAGAGATTTTTGCAAACGACGTTGACTGGCGGAGGGTGTTGGAGTGACGGTTGCGGGGATGCTGCGACGTACGACGGCTAACTTGGTACTATACGGTATACCTACTAAGGTATGGTACTAAAGAGACTAGAGGTAGTGGCTGCCAGCGGCCACCAGCGCCGGCCGGCCAATCGCAGCTCTTGTAATTCGGCGCAGCATCGGCAAATTCCAGCAATATGAAGCGCCCATTTTTTTAGCATTTTAGCACCGTTATAGAGTTTACAGCGGCCCCTTCTAAGCATCAACCCAACGGCTCCGGCGCTGCTCTGCTTCAGCGCGCTGCTGCTTCCTCTTGTGCGGGGGTGGAGATGGATATCTCCGGAGTCCGAGCCTCTCCACTCCCATAATCGCCTTCTCGCACCTCAACTATTTTGTTGCTCGCTCATCATCATCATCCTCCTTGGGGTCGCAGTCAACATGCACCCCTGAACGCCCTGAACGCCCTGGTCACACAAGCCCCCGCCCCCAAAGACATAACAAAAACCCAGTTCGACCGGCCGAGTCGCTCGGCTGTCGGCCCGCAGGGGACACGTGTGCACGCGTCCACGCGTCCACGTCGGTTTGCAGCAAAAATGTTTCACCAGCAGACACCCGTCTCAGACGTGTTGGTCGTTTGTGCAGTTAGTTGACCATGTCTTCAATCGAGTTGCGCCCGGTGACGGCCTCTGTCGGACAGCTCCCGCTTCGGCGCATTATTACAACATCAATGTTGATGGCAATGCAACACGACTGTCACAAATGCCCCATGCAGTAGGTACCGCGCACGCACATGCAGACGCCATCACGCGCACCTGTCGCCTCCGCGGCCGTGCGGATCTAAACCGGGTTCAACGTCGTCGATTTCCTCCCTCATTTTTCTTTTTCATCAGATGAAATCTCGGCCCCAGATTGGATCGGATCGCAGTGGAGGCACTCAATCTTGCAAATCCATGTGTCACGGAATCGGAATCGGAATGTCTAGGTCAAAATAGCTGACTAGCGACCTGAGCGGAGGGTCTGCTCAAGCACAAAAGATGTAAGTCGGTCCCTGTCTCGTTGAGTTTACATGGGTAGGGGTTCTTGAAAAGAAAAGAAAAGAAAAGCATGGCGTCATCATCCCAACCAGTTGCCAGGCCACGAAGTGACGCTTTTCTTTCTTCTTTCTTCTTTTTTTTCTTTTTTTTCTTTCTCTCTTTTGAGCCCGCAGCCGACCGACTCCAAGACAGCCATGTCATGCTCCTAATTTGAGCTAGGATTCTGTCGTATCTGCCTGTTGTTATGTGCAATCCTGTAGTGGATTGAGATGCTGTCGCTTACAACAAGGGAGACTGGCGGTTTGCACCATGATGCCAATACTTATTTATTTTCTGTCATGTTGTGGTATCTTAGCCTGACTATAACCATAAGTCTCACCCGTAAACCTTGCCATTCCTATCCATCACATGCTATCTGCTCCAACCTGACTCTGTAACTACTCTCCTACATAGGCATGCACAGTCCCAGCAACAATGGCCACTCTCTTCCCTCTTCGCCGCTGCTCAACCCCTTTTTCTTCGCTTCCCATCCTCCCACTCTTCATATTCTCCCCTTTTCCTCTTCCCGGCCTGGCCTTTGTCGGCACGGTCCTGCTGCTCCCGGCCTTTGTCGGCACTGTCCTGCTGCTCCCGGCCTTTGTCGGCACGGTCCTGCTGCTCCCGGCCTTTGTCGGCACGGTCCTGCTGCTCCCGGCCTTTGTCGGCACGGTCCTGCTGCTCCGGGCCTTTGTCGGCACGGTCCTGCTGCTCCGGGCCTTTGTCGGCACGGTCCTGCTGCTCCAGCACCTTAGACAAGGCCCGCAGCTGTAGCTCGCATTCCGCCCTTTTAAAATCAACCGAGGGCCAGAGGGCCCGAAGGTAAATATTAAAGTACCTCTGTTCGATGAGCGGAAATCGGCAATGTTAGTAGAGGTACTTTGTAATATGTTGCGATGCACTGGGGGAAATCTCATACCTTGGTAATTGAAGAGACGCCGTCTGGCGGGATGGAGTCGTCAAAAAGCGCCCATGTCAAGTAGCTGATCTTTGTATCCCAAGACTTCGGCTCTTCCGCAAACGGCTCCAGATTTTCGATCGCGAGGTCCAAGTATTCATTGGCTGTTACGCGTGAGTAATTGGAATCCGTATCCGAATCCGTATCCGAATCCTGATCCTGATCCTGATCCTGATCCTGATTCTGATTCTGATCCTGATCCTGATTCTGATCCTGATCCTGATCCTGATTCTGATTCTGATCCTGATCCTGATCCTGATCCTCATCCTCATCCTCATCCTCATCCTGATCCTGATCCTCATCCTCATCCTCATCCTGATCCTCATCCTCATCCTCATCCTCATCC